ACGCGGGCCGCCCCTGGAAATAAACACAGAGAAAACTAAGTATATGTTGCTCTCTCATCACCAAAATGCAGGGCAAAATCATGACATAGCGGTAGAAAACAGATGTTTTGAAAATGTGGCACAGTTCAGATATTTGGGAACCAGAATAACAACTCAAAACCTGATTAAGGGGGAAATTAAGAGGAGATTGAACTCGGGTAATGCTTGCTACCATTCAGTCCAGAACCTTTTTTTGTCTTCTTGTCTGCTGTCCAAAAACATAAAAATTAGAATATACAAAACTACAATTTTGCCTGTGGTTCTGTATGGGTGTGAAACTTGGTCTCTGACATTAAGGGAGGAACATAGACTGAGGGTATTTGAGAACAGGGTGTTGAGAATATTTGGACCGAAGAGGGATGAAGTGACAGGAGGTTGGAGAAAGCTGCATAATGAGGAGCTTCATAACTTTTACTCTTCTCCAAGTATAATTAGAATGGTCAAGTCAAGGAGGATAAGGTGGGCAGGACATGTAGCACGAATGGGGGAGAAAAGGAATGCATATAGGATATTGGTGGTAAAGCCAGAAGGAAAGAGACCACTGGGATGACCAAGGCATAGGTGGATGGACAATATTAAAATGGATCTTAGAGAGATAGGATGGGATAGTATGGATTGGATTGATCTGGCTCAGAATAGGGACCAATGGATGGCTCTTGTGAACATGGTAATGAACATTCAGGTTACATAAAATTCTGGGAAATTCTTCAGTAGCTGCAGATTTGGCTTCTCAAGAAGGGCTCATCTCCATAAGTAAGTATTCATATAATGAAATTACAGTTATCACATCTTTATAGAGTCACGCCTGACGGGATTACAGAATAGATGTCACTTCATATTTCTTTGAGCTAACAAATTACAGAACTATATTTATGTTTTCTGTAGACACAGCGTGGGTCCTTCCTGGCTCGAAGTAGGAATGCATTAGCAAGAATCGCAGAATTGACCCGAAGCTCCACAGGTGGTCCTGTTGTGGGGCCCAAAAACTCCCGTAACTTTGTGTTTGCAACCCTGAGTCCAGAGAAAGTTGAGGAGTGTAGTGCTGATGCTGTGCCTTTACAGGTAGGTTGCTCATACTGTCAAGGCATGTCTTTATCCTGAGACCTTAGGTTGGGGCTACAGCAGGATAAAGTCTGCTGTTTATGTGATCATTGCAAAAGCTTCAGTAACAACAATGGATTTTTTTGTTCCAATATAATGTAGTTAAGTTGATGACTATTGTTGGGAGGAATTTGGTGTAGGCTGCAAATGAATATGGAAGTGAAGGACAAGTCATTACACAGTGACTTTGTCATTACCATATTTACATGTTCCATTTCATTGTATCGACTTCTCACCAGCCTTCCCAACTGCTAGCCATATTTAACCCTTTCACAGTCTAGTATTTTATATGGTGTAGTGACCCTGTTGGGTTGGGTGATTCTACAATATTAAAAAATACATTTTTTGAAGTTTTCTGAATGGAAATAAAGATGCTTCCTCACAAGAGAGCCAAGAAATGGCATTGGCTTTTGATCAGTTTTAGTATCTTTGTTCGTAATGAGTGAAATGATTAAGTTTTGTGGGGGAGAAGTGGTGTAGTGTTATTCAAATGACTGAAAAGTGCATGTCACATATTATAGATGAAGAAGCGGAAGGAGGACCTGGGTGTGACTCCACCTATTGTGAAGAGACTGCGCATCTCAGATGAGAATGTACGAGGACGTAGACTACTGGACCTTCTCACCTGAGGTGGATGTGCATTGGACACTCTGTACATAATGTGTTGTTGTTGGTATATTTCTACATAGATGGTTTATTTGACATATGGGTAATGATGCCATTCCATGGCCACTGGCACAGTTTTGCCATCATATTCACATCTACAGCTCTCCATGTAATTCATATTTCTTGGTGAGAAACGAGCTATACGTAAATTCACTTTTGAGGTGGAAGGCAGCATTGCATTGTGTCTGCAAATTATTGATGGTAGGGAAATTTAATTTTGATGTGTTTCCCAACATGACTGGTTTGTTCATAGCAGTATTTTATGGGTACCAGTGAGGCTGATGTGCATGTTTACATTGGTTGTCTGAACCCAATTCATATTCAGTTTTAATTTTATCTGGCCATCTTTTCTTTCCCAGAGGGTTTCCCACTGAAATTCAATGTAGTCTCAAATATTCAGTTCTTAGTGACCTCATGGTTGAAATGTTTTAGCAGTACGTACAAATGAACAAATGTCCTCTTTGTGTAATTATTTCCACTTCTCACTTTATATCCTATATCAAAATGTTTTTGCTGTGTTTTTAGAAATGGACATTTTTGGACTACACAATAAATCCTTTTTTAGATGATTTCTATAGCTGTTTTTATGTCATAGTTTTTCAGATGTTTTGTGTCAAGAAATGTTTATGTACTTGGCACGTTTGTTTCAGTGCACTGCCTTAAGCCAGGAAGTAATACTGAAAATGGGAACAGGGGATGATGTATGTTGATGCCTAGTTTCCTTCCTCACATCCTGCCAACTACAGAAATCACTGTTGCTGCAAGTCAAATCATGTTGCTGTCCACCAACCTAAATAATGCAAAATGTAATAAAAGTTTGCAGTGAATTTTTATGTAGTTCTTAATTTTAAAGATTCTGTGTTTTAATACATTTCTTGTGGTTTTGCCTACAGGTTTAAGGGAATGGGTGACTTAATATTCAGCAAGTAAACCCTGGAAATTATAATCTCATCACTCTTTGTGATGCATGTTCCTGCAAGTCTTGTGGGGGCCCAGGAGGGGGAGCTGATGTCCATATTAGGATACCAGCCCTATGACTAACCTGATGTTATTCTTGTGGGAAGACTGAACCATGATATTGCTGCTGTGCTGGGGAAACAAGGCAAATATGGGGCACTGTGGACAAGTTGAGGCTTCAGACAGAATGTTACTCTCCCAGTACAGCTGGAGAGCATGATTTAAGGATTCAGAAAGTTATTCTGGAAAGTGAACATGGTAACAGGACACAGCATTTGCCAAATTCCACAAATGAAGGAAACTGAATGGTAAACATATTCTTGTTTCCATCTGCAGCTACATGTCACTGTGCCATGATGACCACATTCAGATTTTCAGTTACATTCTCAGCCCCCTTGTTTCACTTTGGCTCCACAAACTTGACAGCACTGATTCAGTACCAATCAACGTGTTACAGATATCTAATGGGGAAATGGATATGTGCAGGCAATAGAAGGACTGACTTATACAGATGCAGTGTTGACTTATGTAGCTGCAGGAAGTAAATTCTTTGGTAGACTGTCCAACAGTATGAAATAGCCACTTCTTTAAAACAGCTCTTCACATACGATCAGAGAGATATGTAAATGTAAAACGGTATAACTATCCCCATCCTTAATTAATTAGGCATCATGCCATGAAGGCATGAGGGAATGCAGGTATAGCTCATGAGAATTTTCTAGTTCACAAAAGTATAGCAGTTATCTTCCATCTCACTGCCTTGAAATTAAAGGTTAATGTTGACAGACAAATGCTATACCATTCATAACCTCAGAACTGCAAGGAGGTGAGTGGTCAGCTTCATGCTTCAGCTGCATTATCCCTACAGAAGGAGCCCCCAGTAACCATTGGCTATGGGTCTGGGTGGGCCTCTGAGCTGGTCTGGACTCTATGGGGCAGAGAAAAATGTCTTGCCCCTTCCAGGAATTGAACCCAGGCTGTCCAGCCCATTGCTATATCAACTGAGTTATCATAGCTCTGTTCAGAAAGGTAATTTTACAGATACTGAATTTGAAGTAAATGTGGAGAGAATTTGTTCATTAAGATTAACCCCCTCCTTTTTTTTTAATAATGGGACATCATACCGCCTCTTTTACCATGAAGATGGAGGCAGTCTGCTCTGAAATGTTGATACTGTAATTTATTTCAAACTGCTCTGTCACATCCCAGAAAACTAATCTTCATACACTACTGCAAAACCTCAAGTGTACACAGAAGTTGTCTAGTTCGTACTATCTGGCTAATGACTAAATAAATACCTAATACTTATGCATAAAAAAAAGGTAAAGTTGTCCCTGTGCATAACTAATTAAGCACTACGCTATGAAGATGTATGGGGGAGTGGATCTGCATAGTCACTGTAATATGTAACTGAAAAACATCTGTCAACTTTATGGCTATTTTTAGGGCCTACTCAAAATGGTGCTTATGTTCTGTGTGCTGTTTTATTGAGTACTATGTTGCTCAGGTCTGTCCACTATTTTGTACAGTCTGTCACTGTCTTGGTAAATATTAGATGCAAACCCTTGTTGTAAGACATAAAGGTGGAGTATTGTGACTTAGGGCACAGAATTTAGGTACCTCAAAGAAAATAAATATAGAGAATAGTGTTCTTAACCTACTACTCATTTTGGGATAATTTAGTCAGTATAGCAACTGGCTACTAGCTGGACAACCAAGTGGTCAGACTTTGAATCCTTGTAGGGTCAAGAATTTTCTCTTCTCTGTTTTCTGGACTTGCTCTGGTGTCCACCCATCCTATCCAATGGGTACCAGGGGTAAAGCAGCTGGGGCATGAAGCTGACCACTCACTTCCAGCTAGTGCTGAGGTTAAGAAAATGTGAATCTATACATGCACTCCTCCATACACCTTCATGGCATAGTACTTAATTAGTTACACACAGGGACAGCTTTACCTTGCTGATTTGTGAACAGCAAAGTATGGTAGTGTGTGGTTGCTCTTATGCAGTGATGGAGTGGTTAGCAACTCTGCTATACTAATATGAAGCATTATGGGCAGATGACATGATCTGGCATGATGATTATAGGCGCATCTGAAAATATTTAAAAAATTACTTTGTTGGATAATAACAGGTTTACCATACAAACTCCAGAGATTGGGATTTTTTGTTTCATGATGGTAAGTGATTAGCCAAACAGAACAAATTTTATTGAAAATAGATTATTCTTTTGCTGACCAAGCAGGAACTCTTTTTCTGTATGGGTGTGGGCAAGGACTAAGACAAGTGTATTCATTCTCATCAGTTTAGCTTTCTGACTTGTATTTGGGAATGTTGGTATCAGCTGGGAAAACTTCACAGTTTTTCCAAGATGCTCCAGGACAACACATTGCTTGCTTCTTCCCACCCATCTCTAGTTAACTGTGTATTACATGACAAAGTATAACAGCATATTTATCATATTTGTCCTATTGTATAAATTGTCTATATCAGTTTTATTTTAATGAAAAATTGGGAAGCCCATGTAAAGGGAAGTGACAGCCTCAATTCAGGCTTCAATTTTAAGGTAGTTTCCAGTCACTGGTGTTAAGTGATGAGACCTCCATTTATATAAAGTTCAGCATTTCTATGGGGAGAAAGCCTAGAGAGATTGCATGTTACTATGAAGTAATTTATTATGTGTGCTTGATTTTTTGGTGGAGTTTTATAGGCAGTAAGTTTGGAATACCCATCCTTTTATAGATTAGGTCCTGTGTCATGTTCCCACTCAGAAATATCTAAAAATATTAAAGTTATAGACATTTGCTAATACTTCCTGGCTGAGGGTTCAACTTGTCACAAGTCTACTACCAAGATAAGCCAATATAAACTGAAGAAACATATACATCCATACCAAAAGTGGGATTTGAACCCTGCTTCCCAGTAGAATTCAAATGGTTGAAAACTGGGATTACTGTGATTGGCATATGAATATGTATGAATATTAACTGAATAATTAATTTGTGCTGAACTGAGGCAAATATACAAATTTGTATATACTGTTTACAGTTGGGTACAAACCTTGAAGTTTTTAATAACAGAAAGCACCATCATTCAATACTAGGAAAAACAAGTAACTGAAAATAATTTCATTAGGCTACTGCTTGTTTGGAGTTTCAGTCCTGGATGAAGGCAATATTCCATCGAGACCGATCGAGACTGCATGATTCCAAAGTTACAAACGGTTCAGAGAATTTATGAGTAGCCACTGCTTTCTTCAGCGTAACGAAACTGGGGAAAGATAGCACAGATTTTGTCGCAGAGTTGGAGAAAATGTTTTGTAAAACACAGGAGCTTCTGCTATAAATACATGATGCATACATTCGAGACCACTTCGCCGGATTCGGACAACTACGATGACTACGATCACTAAACACACGCATAAACCTTACTCATAGCTCATAATCACGGATCACTATGCTATCACTACTAAACGACTTTATGTTGATATTTCCGTAATTCGAGACAGGAAGTAGAGCGAAGTAGAGTTTTAGTTGGCAGCCATGTTTGTGACGATTTCGAAACAAATTTTTGTTTGTGATACTAGTTCCAAATACTTTCCGAAATATATTAAAGTATTCATTGTTTGTGTTGTGTGATGATTACTATACTCGTCATTTACCACATCACTTCGTCTTGCTCAACATGGGGAAAGTAAGTTTATATTTCATATTTGTTAAAATGTCTAACCCTGAAATGAGTGCTTTCACTCATTTTCTCAATTCGATTGGCATTTCATATAGATAACAGTGAACGCGTAGTAATAGCGTTTTATACCTTGTAAATCGTTAAGATACGATACGACTTGAGAGATGGAATAATTTGCTAACATGGGGTTGTCATAGATAAGTCTAGTAGGCCTGCCCATGTGTTAGATGTGCTCTGTAATTGAATGTGGCCGGTAGCAAGCTGTTGGGAACATGCTGTTGGACTTTGACTATCCTAAAAACAAGAAGAGGTTTTTATTTAAAGTATCAGGGCTATGAATTGGTGTACTATCGTAGATGGTTACCAACGTTTCGGAGGAATTTTCCTCCATCTCCCACAATGCATATATGATGTCATATCCCAGAAACCCACAATATAATTAATTTTCACCGCTGCTAACCAATATTATTGATGGTCAGCTGAATTACTTTCAGTATATTGAGGGAGATTGTCTACTACTGTGGGCTGACAAAATCTTCAGTTTTTAACATGATGGCAGAATTTCAACTTCTTTAAATATTATTTTTAACTTGTCATCTATTATGTACTGCAATTCAAGTTACAACCTGCGTTATCATCATGCTGTTAGTTTTAACTACCCCTCCATTGTGCCCGTCAGAATGTTCACAAATCCCAGCGTCATAAAAGCTCACGAGTGCAACTATAGTACTCTAGTTCGAAAATATTTTGGGCGATTTGTATTCTTTCGATATCCGATAGTGAGCACGCCAGAAATGTATTTTGAGACGTATGAATGTGTAGTGACAAATTACGTGAATGTGCAAGAATGTGTATGTAATGGCGCCGGTCTGACAAACTGGAAGATTTGCCTTGTCTCCACATCGAGCGGTCGAAGGCATGCATGTACTGTCTTCGCTCGCTCGGAAGCCGGGATCGTGGGTTCGAATCCCACACAAGACATGATGGATATTTGGTATGTGTACGTGCTTATTCTGTGTTTAGGTAGAGGCCTTGCGACGAGCTGGTCACTCGTCTAAGGAGCCCTACCGTCTGTAAAATGAACATGAAACTGAAAAATCAGAGGCCAGGGCCCAAAGGAGCCAGTGAAATAAAGAGTTACTGTGTAAATGTTCAGAGCTTTATATTTCATGCTTCTCATCTCCCGCGTAGCTGTAAAGTTCGTGTGTTTGTGTGGCTGCCAAAAAGGAAAGTGTCGCCTCCATGCGGAGTTTCGTGGAGTTCTAACAGTGTTACAAGAAAGTTAAGGAAGACAGATATTTTAACTCGAGCACAAGCATTTCGAACTTTACACAGTATCAATGTTATAGCCTGAATATCGTGGCCCCCGTCCAATTGTGCTGCTTCGTGTTACGTAAACTGTGTGTTTTGAATAAAGTAAATCATAAGAACGAAAAGTAACGTTAAGCGCGCGAGTTTCAATTCTGTCTTTGCGTTTAGGTTAAGACAATATTTTCAGGATACATTTGCTGGAGATGCTGAACGTGAGCCAGATAAACCTAGGAACGTGTCATTTTTCTGTTCCTCGAGTCTACCCCAGAATTAGATGATGACAATCTTCATCATCATCATCATGAGATATATATATATGGTTCTGCATTCATACGCCCGAAGTCGTTACGCAGTGAAACATGTGAGTAAGCATGTTGCCTCGTAACCTTCGGGTTGCAAAAAGGGCGGAGAATATTTTGACTAGGTGAGCAACTGTTAAACCTAACTTACGTAGAATGACTCTGCTTAGTCATTTGACATTTGTGAGCAGACCTAACGAAACACAGTTCGGCAAATAAATCTTTCGGGTGTGCCTGATTTCGACTCCCTAACGGAAGAGTCAGTTTGACGGACGAGTGCACGAACAGCAGTGACTATTTATTCCACCGTAAGGCCATGCACGACACTGCACACTTCGCTTTTCGGTAAAAGATTCATTACGTACCGTCTAGAATACGCGGAGGCACGGAAGCCTGAAATTCAGAGTGGGGGACGCCCTAAGTCCGTTCAAACCGGTTCGCAGTCATTAGTATGAAGTTATGACAGGACTCCGAGATGAAACGCATTTACGATTAGCGCGTCCTGAGATGTGCCTCACCACTTCGCAAGAGTGGAGAGGCTGTTGGATGCATAGGGGGCAACCAGTCCTACACCGCTCGAAGCTGGAAGTTGGTGAAAACTTGGAGCGTTATTAGCTTCTTTTAATAGAACACATTAACTTTACTAATATGTTAAATACGAGTTCTTCATGCTACAAAGTCTAGAATAGGGCACTACAAGTCCATTCCGATATTCAAAACATCTAAATCTTATCCTGCCATCTACTTCTGGTTGTTCCCACGTCTCTCTCTGTCCTTTGGGATTATATAGTTTTGTTAGTAATCGCATATTTTATTCCAGTA